CTCGACACGAAGGCGAAGCTGCAACGTCGAGGCGAACAACAAGCATGGACCATCGACTCGGATCATCGGCTCTGAGGAAGACGAAGACGTCGAAACGTTAGCCGAAAATGGATAAATATCATTATCAACCTCGTGTAAGCTCATCAAAGGAAGAATACATAAAGTAGTCTTTTCAAGGTCTCCGTTGCCATTCTGAGGAACACGTAGATGGATGTGCAACAACACCTCATCGTCTCAGCCATATGCGTTATCAATCGAAAATACTGCTCTTTGATTCATATGATGGCTTTCGTTCAAGCTTGAATAACGCGGCATTAACCTATGAAACCCCTTTACTAATGGACAAAATGCAAAAAGTCGTAGAAATGGAGAAAATTTTCTCACAGATTCACATATCCACTTATAATTACCTATATAGTAAATGAAAAGCACTACTTCCTGCCAAACAAATTCTAATATTCCAGTTAAAGATAAAGTTGATGATACATATTCTACGAGAATTGCGTTAATTAAAAGGAGTAAAAAACGAAGTCTTTAGCAAAGATTACGATCCCGAGCATTGAAGTAAGTGACAACATAGAAAAGTGCTCATCTACTAAACTAAAGATTATTCTAAAACAAAAGCGTTAAATGTAGATAGACTATATATATATATATATATATATATGTATATATATGTATATATATATAGGGCGCTTGTGGCACAGTGCTCGGAGGTGCCCTGCAACACACACATGGAATCGTTCCCCGCGTCCATGGCCTACCAAGCCTTCTATCCCTCCGGGGTCGGCAAATTGGTACCAGACTTGTCTGGGAGGATAGCAGCACTGGCTCGATACATCGGTAAGCTACTGCGTGTCATTATAAAGGCCAGATATGCATTCAATGACCTCTAACGATACTTAATGAAGTTGAATGCATGGCGCATCGCTCAGCGATTGATTAACGCGGAGAGCTTTATCCTTTTAGCTATATATATAACATGTAGCCTTTTTTGAGTAAAAGTCACGGATAAATTCAGCGAAATATGAGAAAGACAAAGACTTAATTTTATGGCAAGTGATTATTGATTAATGGTAAAGCCGCGAATTCACACACTGAAACTGAATTCACAGTGCTCATCGTTGAAAAATTACTCTAGGAGATGAGAGCTAATGCCAAAGACCAGTTCTTATCCCTAACGCAGTGATGATATAAGAGGAAAGAGCGTTGTAACCGTAATAAGAGACGAAAGAGCACTGTGTTGAATTGCACGGCCTAACAAATTGCCACAGCTCAGCGAAAAAGGATCGGAAATTAACTGAAATCATGGAATATCTAAGACACTCCAGGGGCCGGTGAAGAAA